ACTTGTTTCTGGGCCCTGCCCGTCACCCGTGGACTCTGCGGCTCTCAGACAGGAACCTGCATTTTGAGGTGCACCCCAACTGCCAGCGCCCCCCGTTGTGATTCCAAAGTCTGCTGAAGTTTGAGGCGCGTGGCCTCCCCCTCTGGCAGGCACCGGGGCCTCGTCCCTGTCGCGTGCCCAGCTCCTAGGGACACGCTGGGGGTTTACTGGAAAGGAACTGCTCCGGGGGTGGTGTGGTGCCGGGGAAGGGTCTGGAGAAGGTGCCAGGCCCCTCCGGGAGGGCGTTGGGGCAGGCGGGGTGAGGCCCGACATCTGGTGTTCCCGGCTGACCCTGACCTGGGGGCCACCGTGGGAGCTGCATCGTGTTTCCCAGGCCACAAGGGTCCCTGGGGTGCAAGTGGGTGGAAAGCAGGTCTGGCCTTGTTTGGGGGCCTGGGCACAGGAGCTCCGGGGAGCAGCAGGGGTGCCACCTATTGTGGGGTTAGGTGCGCTGTGGTATGTTTTTCATCTGAGACCTTTGAATTTCAAGAACCGTCAGTGTATTTCAAGGGTTTGGGAAAGAATAGACAAGTACCTGTCTTGGGAAATTCATTTTCCTTTTATAAGTGCCATTTCCCTTCCTTTCCTGGTGTTTTCCGCGGCGGCTTCCATTCCCTTGGCTGTCACTGTGGGGCTATAAATAGCTTTAGCAGTCAGGTGAGGCCAGGCTCGCCTGCTTCGGGACCTCCTGTGCACAGTGTTTTGCTTGTCTTTGAGGCAATCCTTTGTTCAAATCTGGGCTGACACGAGCAGCAGGACAGGTGTAAATGTCCGTCAGGTTCTTGCTCAGGATCACCAACAGCGGCGCTCAGCACAGGAACGGTACCTGCTCTGTAGACTGCCCACCATGCACTTTGACATAACCTTCCTGAGTCTTCAGGATAGTTCTGTGTGGTATTCTCCCCACTTCCCAGGTGAAGAAAGCAGAGACTCAGAGAGGTGAGGATGTTTCCTCAAGGTCGCACAGCCAGGCTTACAGCTCTCAGTGGGGTGCTCTTTACTGTGTCACTGGCAGCCTCTGATGGCGGTGTGATTGGGGCTGCGCCTGCTCCTTCCTATCTCTAACAGTGTAGAACACTTTTAAAAACACTGATTTCAAAACATCCTTGATTGCTCGTACCAGGCACCATCGTCACGTATTGTTTCTTGTCCTTCGGCCTGACTGCTGTTCTCCCCTCCCTTCTCCCACCTCCTTTGATCCCCAGTGACCCTACTTAATGTAGCTCGGTTGATTCTGAACAGAATGGAGAATCAGGATCTCCGGAGGAGAACAGGGCGGCCATCTGGCCCATGCAGCATGCCAGAGCTGGACTTTCTTCCTTCCCATTTGGTTTTAACCCAAAGCCTGGCATAGAAGGTAGCTGCAGGAGCTTAAGTTAATTGGCATTAAGAGCCATGACCAAGTTCTGCTTGCAAAGCCTGCACCTCCTAAACTCACTGGGCGTGTCCATTTTGACTGGCCCAGTAGGCTGCTTTTTGGCCATCTGGGACCTAGGCGTCCATGCCTGACTGGCTGATTTCCAGCATAATCATGTTTGATTTCTTTTTTGACTTCAGGATCCATGTCAGCGTCGTCTCTCTCCGTCCTGCACACGCACCGTGAACTTGTCATGAGTTCGCCTCCACTTGCCTGCCTAGCCTCCCTGCCGCTCTCATTTCCTTCCCACCCACCACTTTTTTCTCGTATCTTTTTTTTCTTCAGTTGACCTCAGGTATCCACAGCCACACCTTCCTTATTGAGTCAGGTGCCCACTGGTGCCTTGGTTGTGCGTCCTGGGGAACATCCTTTCTCCTTTAGCTCCACCTTTTTGTCCAGAAAATCCTGCCTTCAGTCTTAGTCAGGATAGAAATCTCTTGAAGTGGTCGGTCTGAAGAAGGGTCTGGGAAGGCAGCTCCAGGCTTTGTCCAGCTGAGAACCCCAAGGGGAGTCTGGGTGAAACGCAGTGTTCCCATTCAGTGTACGGCTTCCCCTTGACACTGTATGCTTGCTTCTGAGTGGGCCCCGAGTGGGATGGGATCAGGCACCACCACTGCCCTCGACAGCGTGCAGTCCCAGCGCCCACCTGCTGGGCCAGGGGCTGTAGCGGACACTCTCGTGTGTGTCTAGACTGCCCTCTGGTATTTAACCTTACTTATAGAGGTCACCAAGACTCAGAGAAGTTCAAGAGCCCAGCAAGTGGGTAACAGAGTTGGGATTAAGCCCTAAGCTGTGTTGTGGAACAGGACAGCAGAACACAAGGCATGACCAGGGAGTCCACCTTTCCCAAGATAGCAGGTGGGGTCAGTGTCCCCATCCCTCCCTGGGAGCCCCTCTCTCAGAAGTGAATTCCGCCGAGTTAGCCCTGGGACCACAGCAGGCTGCCGGGCTTGCGTGAGCATTCTGGGAGGCCGAGGCATACACAAGGCTGCCACCTCTCGGGGTCCCCAGGTTAGAACCAGGTAGGTTCTCAAGATGCTGGCACAGATCAGGGCCGAGAGACGGGCGGGTCAGCCCGTGAGGCTCCCTGTTTGCCTTGCGGGGTTGAGTTACCTGTGCGTGGTATCTCATCACAGTTCTGTGTTTGCAGATAAGGAAAAGGGCAAGGAGAAGCTGGAGGAAGACGAGACTGCGGCGGCCAGCACCATGGCGGTCTCTGCCTCCCTCATGCCGCCCATCTGGGACAAGACCATCCCGTATGACGGCGAGTCCTTCCACCTGGAGTACATGGACCTGGACGAGTTCCTGCTGGAGAATGGCATCCCTGCCAGCCCCACTCACCTGGCCCAGAACCTGCTGCTGCCTGTGGCCGAGCTGGAAGGCAAGGAGTCGGCCAGCTCTTCTGCAGCGTCCCCGCCGTCCTCCTCCACTGCCGTCTTTCAGCCCTCTGAGACCGTGTCCAGCACAGGTTGGTGAGGCGCCTCCAGCAGGGTCCCCCCCCCCCCCCCACTGAGCAGTCCGTGTCCAGCTGGGGCTGCTTCTGTCCACACGCCTGGCAAGCCCTGCTGCCAGGAGAGGTCATGGGGGGCCTGCAGAGTGGCGGAGCCCTCTGCTCCCACCCTGCACAGTCCTCTGAGGCTGAGATAAAAATAGCAGGCCATCTGCAGCAGTGGGCGCTTTCTGTTGGTGGGTGTGTGCAGGGGTCAGCACTGCGGAGTGAGCGCTTGGGCTGCGGCCTGGTGGGATGGAGCCCCTGGTGCTGCGTCTTCTCCACACCCGCTCGGCAGAGCACAGGCGATACTGATAAGCTGGCCCGAGTTTACTTAGCACTCACTGCATCCGCAAGCGTTAACACACACTTCTCTCACAGATCTTAGGAAGCTGATTCTGTTGTCCCCATTTTACAGGTGAGGAAACAGGCACAGAGACGTTAAGTAACTTGCCCAGGGTCACACAGCTGGTAGGTAGTGGAGACAGCTCTTGAATTCAGGACCTCTGGCTCCATAGCCTGGTCCTACCCAGACACGAGCCACAGAAGGCAGCCGTACCTTCGGGCTCCCTCCCTCGTCCACTTGTATCTCTTGTATCTCTTGGGATTGATTGGTTGGGCTTTTTTTTTTTTTTTAAATTTACTTATTTATGCATACAGCATTGGGTACAGGCCAGAGGCACAGGGGCAGTGAGAGGATTCACCAGAGACAGTGGGGAGCAGATCAGGCAGATCTATTGAAATACCCTGCTGAGGGGAGCAGCAGGGAGACAAGAGAGGTCTGCTGCCAGCCAGGGAGGACCCGTTTGTCCCTTTGGACAGGGGCCCCCCAGAGGCGTCATGGGTTCCGCAAAGCCTTCCGCAGAGGCCACAGCACATGCAATGGTCGTGCCCAGGAAGGGCCCAGGGGACCTGCACACTGGAATTCTCAGCCTCTTTTTTTTTTTTTTTAAAGATTTATTTGTGCATACAGAACTGGGGGTACAGGCCAGAGGCTCAGGGGTGGTGAGAGGCTTCACCAGAGACAGAGTGGGGAGCAGAACAGGCAGATCGACGAAGTACACTGCTGAGGGGAGCAGCGGATGGGTCAGGAGAGGTCTGCTGCACCATGTGGTCACCTCCAGGGCAGGCGGGAATCGAACTCATGCGCAAGTTGCTCCAGATTCTCAGTGCTGTGCTTTATTTAACCCGCTGTGCCACCAGGGAGGGCCTCTCAGCCTCTTTTTATCATTGACTTGATTATGGCAAGTTTTTCAGATACAAAAGTAAGACATGCCGTAGCAAAGCCGCAGGTGACCATGGCTCCGCTACCGTGGTCTTGTTTTCCGTAACCTTCCATTCCCGTCTCCTGAGCATTCTCATTCAAACCCCAAACATTGCGTCATTTCGTCTGTAAGCATTTCCACATGTGAGTAACACAAGAGTGATTTCCGTTTTTCTCCAGCAGCCGGATACATTTGTTCTCTCCCAAAGAAACTGCACAGTCACGCGCGTGACATGGGCCTTGCGGGTCTTTGCTGCTGCTCTGGCCGGCGCCTCCCTGGCCTCAGCCGCCCCGCCTTCACCCTGGCCCGGGTGCCCGCTGCTTCTCGAGGCCTTCTCGTCAGGCCGTCTCACAGTCTGCGTTGTGGTGCGGTTGTCTCTGCGCCATCTGAGAAATCGTGAGAGATGCCAAAGCCCTTGTCTTCCCACCTCCAAAGTGGGTTCGGAACCCAAACACACAGCTGCCCCTGGGGAGGACCTTGCGCATTTTAGCTCATTTTTCTGGAATTTCTGCCTTGGGTGCTGATGCCTTCCCTGGTGAAGGACGGCAGTGACCATTTGCTTCCGTGGAAGTGGTGGGTAGATCATGAACCTCCTGGCCTGGATACTTACCATGTCTTTCCTGACCGGGACAGTTCCCAGGGAGCCAGGGAGGAGAAATGAGGATTCTTTCCAAACACAAATGCCAGTTTGGGTGTGAAGTTGACACAGCTCCGTGAGTATTCCGATTTCCAGAATTGTTTTATGGTTTGTTTGAATCAGGATGCAAATAAGACTCAGGTTTTGTTTGGTGGATGTGTCTTAAATATTTTGTAACTTCAGGCTCGCCTCCCTCCTCCACCTTTTCTCTTATCCCCCAGTTTATTTGTTGGTAAAATCAAATCATTTCTCCTATAGAGTTTCACACATGCTAGGTTTTTCTTACTGCATCTCTCATGTTCCTCTGCTCCACTTCTTTTTCTCCTAGAAACTGGTAAGATCTAGAGACACACCTGATTCCACCTGTATTCCTGTTGGTCAAGTTGTTCTAGGAGGCAGTTTCCATGTGTGGTTGGGGCAGAGCTGGGAATGTTATTTATTTATGCACACAAGAACTGGGGTACAGGCCAGAGGCGTGGGGGGGGGTAAGAGGGTTCACCAGAGACAGAGTGGGGAGCAGAACAGGTGGATTGACAGAAATACCCTGCTGAGGGGAGCAGCGGGTGGGTCAGGAAAGGTCTTGTTGCGCCCTGTGGGTCACTCCTTGGCCGGGATTAAAGTGCTGCAGTGGCTGCGGACGCTCGGTAGTGCTGCGCTTTGACCCTTTGCGCCAGCAGGGAGGCCCGCCAGTCAGCCTTAATAACGGGTGACTGACGTCCAGGAGTGCCTGCGTGCCACGTGCCCAGCCCAGTGAATCTTTGCAGAGGGAACCCATGTGACAGTGCTCCAGATCAGGACAGAGAACACCATTTGGCACCCTAAAAGTGTCTCATGACCCACTTAGCCAGTACTCCTTAGAGATTATCACTAGTCCTGTTTTCACACCAAAGATTCCTTTCGTTTGTAATTGAATGTTCAGTATAAGGAATTACACAGTACGTCTTTTCGGCTTTAGCTATTATAAGTTCATTACATGTAAGCTCTTGCACATATTCACAGCTCTCTCTAGTTGACGTAATATGTATGTGCACATCAGAATCTCTCCATGAACAAAACCGGTTTGTACAACATAGCTGTAGACGACTCCTGTGACAGAAAAAACAGCACAGAGGAAGCTGAGACTTGGGACAGTCACACTTGGGATGGCAGTCGTCTTTCTCAGTGCTCCTTTCTGGAGAGGCCGAGGCAGCGGCGTTCTGTGTCTGGCCCCTTCCTCACGCCGTGTCCCACGGACTCATCAGTCCGTGTTGCTGCCTGCGCAGGACTGTCCTTTTTCCTCGCTGAGTAGCATCCTGTCGTGGGAACACACTGGTTACCTTTTCTGCCGTCGTCGGGCATTTGACGTGTTTCTGGTTTGGGTTACGCGCAGCGCTGGCGCAGACACTGACGTGCGTGTCTCTTGGTAGATGCCCAGCGTTCCTGCTGGGCACGGCCCTGGTGCCAGCGCGTTGCACATGCTTAGCCAGTGGTGACCGGTGGTCGCTGCTGCTCCCTCTCCCGCCGTTGGGGTCTGGGCGTTCTGGTGTCAGCCCATGAGCGATTTTCACATCTGCTGTGCAGTTGAATTACCGTCTGATCTGCTGACTGCCCCTTGCCTCCAGCAGTCATGTGCAGATCTTACAGTCCGCTGCTGAATTGCTCCCTGGACTATAACACTTGGGGGTGGGGCTTCCTCAAGGTCCTTGCCCCAGTCTCTTTTTTAGGTGTCCTTTGTAAATTGCCCTCTTGTTTTTTGGGGGTTTCTCTTGTCCTGCCCCAGAAACAGCCACTTCTTGGCATTGGGTCACTGCTGAAGAGCGCTGAGTCGCCTCACGCTGAGCAGCTCTGTGTGCGAGTCTCGGGTGTGGAATCTGCCGCGCGCCTGCTTCCGGCGTGGCCCCGGCCCCGCACCCTGCCACTCAGCCCCCTTGTGACTTGCCCTCCCGCAAGGTGCTTGCGCATGCCTGCCCCATCCAGCTACACCCTGGTTCTGATCACGTCCCTCTGCCCAGAAGCCTCAGCACCTTCCCCTCCCCCGGGTCAAAGTCAGAATCTGTGGTGTGACTGACGTCGGGGCCAGGTCACGTGTTTGCTGGGACGGGGGGCAGGAGAGTCCCTTGTGTACAGGGTATTTGGTGGCGTCCTGTGCGCCCCCCGGACACAATGGAAACCACTTTGCCCGTCCTGAGACCGCTCTGTCCCCGCAAGGCGCAGCTGTGCCCTTGAGAACTACTGCTCTGGGGCCAGAGGCGGCATGCCTGGCCCTTCCCTCCGGGCACAGCCCAGCGCGGCCGGCCCTGCGCTGCACCTGCCCGGGCCCTGACCGCCAGCGTTGCGAGCTCTTCTCCCAGGAGTGTGAGACGCCCAGCGTCTTCAGACTTCGCTTGCTCATCTGTGTGAGACCGGCCCCTTGCACCGACAGGCCACGGCGGCAGGGCCTGCTGTAGCCCTGCTTCCTCTGGCGGGCACACACCTGGCATGCACCGGGGTGCAGGTGGCGGAGCCGCTCCTCGGGGCTCCTTTCAGTAGCGCTGAGGGAGAGCAGAGGTGCTGCTTTTCTTTAATAATAAGATGACTGCACGCAGCCCTGGGACTCCTAAGGGCCTTGAGCCCAGGCTCCGTCCAAAGCCAGGCTGGGTGGGCAAGGATGAGGGCACAGACTCGCCCAGACCCCGCTCTTGCCACCCCAGCCACTCGCCCTGTGGGCCCGAGGGCACGTGTCGTTTCTCTGAACCCTGTTTCTGGGAAATGGGCTAGAACAGCCTCCCCCTGCGTGGTGCGGGCCGTGAGCGTGGCGAGGCTTCGGGCTCGGAGGTGGAAGCCGTTTGCTGCTCGTCCCGCAGCGCGCGAGCGCTCAGCTGGCTTTCGTTACTTGAGAGCTTGGACCCACGGGAAGTTTTCAGGGGGCAAATGATTTCATGTTTTGCATAACGTTGGGGGGGGCCGGGAGCAGTTGGAAGATCCTGTCTTTTCAGGGGCCTGTTTCCTCTGAGCATTCTGTTCCGAGAAGATTCTTCCCACGTTGTGCTGTTCAGCTGGATGGGTGCCAGCCGGCTCGGGGGCTGCGCCGCACCACCCGCCCCCCCAAGTGCGGCTGCGCCGCACCACCCGCGCCCCTGAGGCCCGGGGCTGCTGCAGGACCTCCGGCTGCTGTTTTTCAGAATCCTCCCTGGAAAAGGAGAGGGAGACCCCCAGCCCCATCGACCCCAGCTGTGTGGAGGTGGATGTGAACTTCAACCCCGACCCTGCCGACCTGGTACTCTCCAGCGTGCCTGGCGGGGAGCTCTTCAACCCGCGGAAGCACAAGTTTGCCGAGGAAGACCTGAAGCCCCAGCCCATGATCAAAAAGGCCAAGAAGGTCTTTGTCCCCGACGAGCAGAAGGTAACCTGGTTTCCTCTCCACGTGCGGGCGCCGTGCCAGCGCTTGAGCCGAGGCCGAGCTTCCTGACGCCCGACTTATCTGGGGGCCCCTCCCGCTGCGCCCTTTCAGGGCGTGTGAGCTCCAGGTGCTTGGAGCCGGCCAGGCAGTCGGGTGGCCGGGCCCAGCGGACGCCCAGCGGCTCCCCTCCCCGCTGCTTCCTGGCTGGGTCAGGCGCCGCTTGGAAGGACAGAAGGTGGCGTGTGTGGCCGCTAACAGGGACAAGCCCGCCGCTTTCAAGCTGATGGTTTTAGGAACGGGGTGGGGAGAGGAGGGCTTGGTGTCTCCCCTCGCCTCCTGTTGTGGCTCACAGGAGGGACGTTGCATCCGAGCGCTGCAGTCAGGCGGGCCTGGGTTCAAATGCCGCTTGGCCGCCCAGACATAGCTGTGCCTCAGGCTCCTCGTCGGGGAGGTGAAGTAGCACTCACGCTGCCTCCCAGGGCCTCAGGCTTAGTGACGGCGCTGGTGACTGCGGACATGTGCGTGCAGGCCAGGCACGCTTCCGGCACCGTGTGTGTGTCACCGTGAGGTGGTCGCTGCTGCTATCACACGTGCCGATAAGGGGCCCAAGGCACAGCGTGGCGGCGCCAGCTCGGGCCTGCACACCGGTGGTGTCGAGGCGCTGAGAGCCGAGCAGCACCAGCACAGCGCCCCGGACGCCCTCCCTGGGGAAGGGCGTCTGCCGCTCCCTCCCCGTGTGTCGGGGGGGGGCTCTCGGACCGAGCGGTGGCGGGAGGGGGCAGTTGGGCTCCCTTGTGGGGTGGGAGACCCACAGAGGACCCTTCCCACAGGATGAAAAGTACTGGACACGGCGCAAGAAGAACAATGTGGCAGCCAAGCGGTCGCGGGATGCCCGGCGCTTGAAGGAGAACCAGATCACCATCCGGGCGGCCTTCCTGGAGAAGGAGAACACGGCCCTGCGGACGGAGGTGGCCGAGCTGCGCAAGGAGGTGGGCAAGTGCAAGACCATCGTGTCCAAGTATGAGACCAAGTACGGGCCCTTGTAACTGCCCCCGGCGGCACTTCCTGCTCCCAGACCTCTGCAGGGGCTCCTGACACCCCACCCACGCGTGGGGACTTGTGACTTGGCACAGGCGAGGGCGCGCCCGGCGCCAGGAGCGTTCCTGTTCAAGCTTCTTACCGCGTGGCAACTTCAGGGGCCAGCGCCCCCCAGCAGGGGCGCGGAGAGGCTACGCAGACAGGCACCAGCGTGGTTTCGCCTCTCGGATGTCCCCATTGGGCGGGAAGGGACCTTTGGACGCGCGTCCCTCCTTCCACAGGGCGCTCGGCTCCCTCCCCCGCCTCCAGCCTGACCATCGGCCCTGCGGCCCGTCTGCGCTGCGGGCTTGTTTCCAGCTGAGCGTGTCTGTCGCACACTTCGCCCTCCCCGGCGGGCCTGGACGGCAGCGTCTGCTCTCGCCCCCCTCGAGCCGTTGCCTCCCACAGGAGGGTCTCTGCAGCCTGGGTGGCCCGGCCGGCCGCGGGCGTGCGCCAGCCGCCCTGCCCCTCGCCTGCCCTTGCGGCTCTAGGCCTGTGGCGGCGCCGGGCTGTGGTGCCGCCCGGTGTTCCACCCACGGCAGGGGCGGACCCCAGTGCGAGCTCTTCGCCCGCTCCCGGGGTCACGGCAGAGGCCATCTGCGCCTCCTGTGTCCACCAGACTGGGCTGCCAGGCCTGCTCTTTCTTTCCGCCCAGTCACCCAGCTCAGATCTTGGATTTCAGAGAAAACTCCCTCACCCAGGACACGTTCCTTCCCGGACCCGGGAGGCTCCCGTGCAGTGCTGAGAGCAGCGGCCCCGCTCGGAGTGGCCAGGAGGGCCGGAGCGTGTTTCTCGAGCTTTTTTGGCGCCGCTGTCCGCGGTGGGCCAGGCCGAGCCCACGGCCCCTGAAGGCGGAAGAGGGCTGCGGGGCTTGCTTCAGGAGCCGCCCGCGGCCGCCCAGAGCGGCAGGCCACGGTCAGGGCCGCCGGGCACAGCGCGCTGCCGTTAGCGAGCCGTGGGCAGCGCCAGGGCCGGCGCCCCTCCTGCCGGGAGGTGTGGCCCGCTGGCACGGGCGCCTGCGGCTGCGGCCTCGCTACCTCCAGGCTGCTCCTCTGCGCCCTGCTGGACTCCGCGTTTCCCGCTGCCCAGAACAGGACTCGAAGCCGCGGCCCCTGTGCCACCTGGGCGGCGGAGGCGGGTTTCACGGGCTCAGGGCGGGCGGCCTGCGGGGAGAGGGCTGGCGGCGGTGCCGCTGTCGCGCCTCTGGCTTCGCCGGAGCGGTGGCTCCGGTCTCTGAGGACCTTTTCTAACAGACGGGCCGGGCCGGGGACGCCGGCCTGACTAGACTGCCCAGGGCGGAGCCTGCGGGACCTGCCGCCGCCTCTGCGCACTTGGCGGGGCCCCAGGGCCCAGGGAGAGCACCCCTCCCGTGCCGGCCTTCACTCTGTGGTCCTGTGAAAACCACGCGCACACTTTCCACTCTGTTGTAACCACAACGGGCAGTTGCATCCGGCATGTCTGCGTCCTGCCTGGGCAGCTCGCCCGCCGGGCACTCTCCCTCTGGTCTGGCTGCCCGCCAGGGCAGTTCTCATTTCTTACTCGCGGAAGGGCCTCCAGCTCAGAGCTCTTCGCTTTCTTTGGCCAGAGAGTGTGTGGTTTGTGTTTTTTCAATTTTATTTTTTAAAGGATAGACATTTACCCCCTGGGTGTCGTCTCCGAGCCCAGGGCCGGGCCTCGGCCTCTTGCCCCCGCTCTGCCTGTCTCGCACCCCCGCCCTCCTGCAGACGGTGGGTGGGTGTCTGGGAGGAGCGCCGCCGGCCCCCCTGAAGCATTCCCTGTGTCCTGGGGGGCTCCGCAGGGCGGGCGTGCTCGCCGCGGGCCTGAGCGCCCGGCAGAAGCTGCCAGCCCGTCGCGGAGCGAGCCTCCCGGACTCCCTCCCGGGCTCTGTCTTGGGCCCAGCAGCCAAAGTCCGAGGCTGTCGTGTTGAGATCTGACGTTAAAGCCCCGGAGGCTCGAGCGCCGGCTCGTGTGGGTTTGCACGCCGGCCAGCACGCCCCTCCCGCGGAGCCTCCTTACCGCCTCCGAAGAGACAAATCATGAACGAGCGAGAATGTTGCAGGAATATACATATGCTAAATGTATGTCTAGAAGTATATATATATTTTTGTTTGTTTTGGAGAGAGCGCGCTTTAAGGTGGCCAGCAGCCTTGTGGAGGGCCCGGTGGGGGAGGCACTCGGTCTGGTCGGAGCCTTCACTGCGCTGAAGGGCCGCCGCGCACCCCCCGCCTGGCAACGGGGCGGGGGCAGCGGCGCTCTGTTCTGCGCCAGGGCTGAGAGCCCTGGTTTTCATGGGAAAGCCCCACCCAGAGCTCCTTTGACATCTGTTAATTAAGTGCAATAAATTTTTCTAGAAAATGGCAAAGATGACTTCCAGGTGGACTTGCTGTCTTACGGTGTTGCAGATGCAGAACGCCACTTGGTTTTATTTTTCTAAGCGCATGAGATGTGACGACGTGTTGGGCTCTGCGCCCCCGGGCTGGCTTTGCAGCGGGCCCCTCTCTCCTTTACTTTTGCCTGGGGAAGGGGCAAGAGGAAAGCCCCTTCTTCCAGCCGGAGAGGCAGAAGCAGACCCCAGCCCTGGCCTTAGTGTGTGTGCGTGTCTGCGTGGGCCCGCCTGGAGTCGCTGCTGGCGGCCGAGTGGTGTGGGCGGGAAGCTGGGAATGTATCCTTTTCAAAACAGAATTAAATATTTTGAGACGAGAGTCGCGGTCTGTCTTTTCTGTCCCCCTTCCCACGATTCCTCTGCCTGCGTGTGAGCCGCACGGCCGTCGCACCCTTTCTCAGCAGCTCCACGCGTTCGGCCAAGTGGCCTCCCTCGCGCCGCGGTCCTGGCTGTAGCGGGAGGAAGCCTCGCCCGCTGCCTCGGCCGAATCACAGCAGCTAAGTTCAGGCCCAGAGCCGGGGCCAAGGTCACCAGGCGCTTGGCCCTGGGGTCAGGCCATGTCCTCGACACCCACGCTGGGCCTTCCCCTTCTCCCAGCCTTGAGGACGTTTTCTGGCCCCGTGGGGCAGGCACCGTGCTCAGAGACCAGCTGCGGGCCCAGGTCTGGTTCGCCTGGGGCTGCCGCCCCCTCCCGACCTGCTGGGAGAGGCAGACGGAGGCCTCATGAGTGCCGGGGAGACCAGCGGCAGTGGGTGTGATCGCCCCTGGGTTCACACACAGCTGGGGCGCCACCAAGCAGGGCACGGGTGTGGCTCTCGCCCGTGCGGACGTGGTCCCCCAGGAGACACGAGGCAAGCCGGCAGTTCAGGGTGCCAAGGGGGAGTAGGTCCCTGGCACCACCGTGCTTCTCACTAAGACTTGGAGGAGCTGAGAAGCCAGAGGCTGGTGTGGCATAAACAGCCTTTGGCCAGGGTCCTGCCCTCGGGCAACAGCCGGCCCCTGACCCTGTCCCCAGCCCTGGGCGGCCTCCATGGGGCCAGGGTGAACCAGTGGCCCACTGGGCCCAGGAGGCCCTTCCAGAGATGTGAAGACGCTGCATTTGCTACTCTGCTGTCGCCCACAGCAGAGATGGGCAAGGTCTGGTTGCTGCGGGTCCCTGCTCCAGCACCAGCCTGGGCGTGGTCTGGGCAAGTCATGCCCTGACCCAGCTCCTCTCTGATGGATGAACCTCGGGTCAGGTCTGGCCCGGGCAGCTGGCATAGGGCAGGTCTCAGCACAGCGGCGGCCTGGTGCCACGGCAGGGCCTACTCTGACTGCCCCTGGCCTGGCAGCTTCCTGCCACGGGGTCTGCAGGCCCTGCAGGGCGAGGACCTCCCTGGCCCTGACCGTCCTGCACTGTAAGGACATGTGTGAGGCCCTGACAGGCACCTCCCCTCCCTGGAGGCCTCATTCCAGGGCTGGCCACTCAGCTTCCCTTCACTGCCCAGCCAGCAAGCGGCCTTCACACGCCTCCCGCCAGCCAGCCCAGCTGGCACTGCTGACGTCAGCGGCCAACCTGAGCAGAAGGGAACCAGGAAAGAGGGCTGAAGGTGGGTGCCCCAGCTCCCCTCTGCTCCCGCACAGCCCCCGGGTCTGCTCCTCACCTCAACAAACCCCCACCCACAGGCCGTCCCAGCTTCGCGCTGCCTGACTCAGGCCCCTCCCCAAGTCCAGGCTGCAGGTGTGAGCACAGCAGGGCCTTGGGGCTGCCGGCAGGAACGAGGACTCACAGTGGGTCCTCCCAGAGCTGTGCTCCTTCTTCACAAGCCCCCATAGCATCTGCAGAGGGCGAGATGGAGGCCAGGGGAGGCCTTAGGTGACATGCCCAGGACCTCACAGTTACCGGTCCCACCGAGCCGAGGTTTAAGCCCGGACAGTGGCACCAAAGGGCAGCTTCTTTCCACCGGCCCAGCTGTCCTCTGCCTGAGGTGCTGGCCCTGCCTGGGCCTGTCCACGCTGGAAGGACACTCACCTCCACAACCCCTGGACCCTCAGAGGTCAGCCAGCCAAAGCAGCCAGGAGCAAGGCCTGAGCTCCCACCTCCCCGATGCTGCCTGAGCTGCCCTGTGCGCCCAAGGCCCAGGCCCAGCCGCTGGGCTGGCTGGGAGCACTGACATTTGCTCCGCTGGCTGGGCCAGGACGTTCACCGTGACCCCACCTGACCAATGTGGAAACAAATGACTTCCCTGGCACCATTTCTTCACCCCTCCCAACCTTATCCTTGGTCCCTAACCACCCAGCCGGGCCCCCCAACCTCAGTTTCTGGGGTCTTCCCTCTGCGGAACCTGTCTTCTTTTTCCTCTCCTCCTGGATACCGCACTCAGAGGCGGTAGGCACCAGGGACCTTAGAGTCGTCACATCTGGTGTCTCCTGCGTGGAGGAGAAAGAGGCAGGAGGGAGCGGGGCGGCCAAGCTCACAGCAAAATGAGGCTCAGGAGAGTTTTCTCCACTTCTCACCGCCCACCTCCCTGGGGGGGTACCCCTGGGGGCCACTTGCTGCTCCCACTTCTACCCAGACCATCAGGTGCGCCTTGAATCCGGACCTCACATGATACTGGAAATCGGCCTCATTCTAGCCCCAACTCCAATTCACTGTGTGGCCTCCTGGAAGACATGTTCCTCCCTGACCTTCATCAGTGCCATGGTGACCAGCACCCCAGTCCTGCCCACCTGTCAGGGTGCTGTGAAATTCAGAGGAGGTGCTGCATGCAGAACAGGCAGATCTACTGAAACACACTGCCGAGGGGAGCAGCGGGAGACAGGAGAGGTCTGCTGTGCCTGTGGGTCACTCCCTGGCTGGGGTTTGACTCGTGCTGTAGGGGCTGCAGACAGCTTCCCCTTGCACCGCCACGGAGGGCCCAGAAACCCCTTTTAAAGGGAAAGGCATGGGATGCTGTCTCAGCTCAACATATCTGGAACCCAGGGTGTGATGACAGGTGCCACCCCTCCCCCACGTCATACATAGATCCCCCACAGACAAGCCAGTCTCCACCTCACTAGCAACCCAGGTGGAGGTGATGTGGTAGGTAGAGTCAGGAGGTAGAGATGGATGTCGGCAGCCAGGCCGCTCCTTCCGGTCTCATCTCAGCCATCACACTTGCTGCCCTGCATGCCTGGAGTGTCTTGTCCAGGCCTTCTCAGCCTAACTCCCCTGCTCCTTTTCCCCTCTCCTACTTGGGACATAGTAGCTGCTCACTAAAATCTAGTCTGGGGCCTGGATCACAGCACCAAGGCAGAGTGTGTCAGGTGCGCTGTATCACCACCAGGTGGCGCTACAGACCGTCCCTAGGCTGTGACCTCTGGTCCAGCGGCAGCTTAGAACTCCCAACAAAGCCTCCTGCCTCCTGGTGCCAGGCGGTGCTGTGGGGCACCAGCTGACTGGTGGCTACTGGAGGACAGGGTTCAGGGCTGTGTCCCTTGGTCTACACTTCCAGGCTCTTTCTGGGGAGGGCATGGGTGTGTAGGCATGGGGGGAGAGGGCTAACTGAAGTGCAGCAAGGGAGGGGTCTGGGACCAGGGACTAGGGGGAGGCTTCAGCATTGGGGTCTGTCCATGGAGCCTGGGTTTGCACCCCACATCTGCCAGTCCTTTATATGCCTTTGTCATGCCTGGCCCTGGTGCTAAGCCTCAGTTTTTCCATCTGTCAACAAGTGATGAAATGTGAGCAAGAGGGCCCTCCCTGGTGGCACACGGGTTAAAGCGCAGCACTAAGAAGTCACAGCCACTTCAGCATGAGTTCGATCCCCACCCTGGGAGGTGACCCACAGGGCATGGCAGACCTCTCCTGACCCGCCCGCTGCTCCCCTCAGCAGTGTGCTTCGTCAGTCGGCCTGCTCCCCACTCTGTCACTGGGGAAGCCTCTCACCCCCTGCACCTCTGGCCTGCACCCCTCTCTGTGTGGATAGATAAATCCATCTTTAAAAATGAATTCAGATCAAGCAGTGGCAGACCCAAGGCCCAGCCGGGGCCTTCAGGGGTGAATGGCCCCACCTGGGCGGTGCGGCCTGGCCCATCCTTCAGCCTCCCTGGGCCTCTGGCCCCTTGCACCCCAGGCACAGGAGGCCAAAGTCCACCTTCAGGCACTCAGCGAGTCTCTACTTTGTGACTGGAGACTTGGCCGGTGTGGCCTGGTCCGGAAGGCCCCTCAGGGGTCAGACAGATGAGATGTGGGCCAGACACCAGAGTTTGTGTGGAGAGAACCTTTGAGAAGCCACTGGGGTGCCCCAGGGCAGATAGGGTGAAGGGGTGGGGTGAGGTGGTGGGAGCTGCCCAAGGCCTGAGGGTTTAAAAATAAGTCCTGTGTAAGTGTTGTCAGTTACAGGCAGCGGCTCCCCTGGTGACATCACCCAGCACAGGATGTCCCTGGCAGGGGCTGGGGTGACAGAGGGGACAGGGCGGGGGAGGGCGAGCGCCTGACTGCCCTGTCTACACCTGGGAGCAGCTTGTGTTTGGAGGGCAGAGGGGCTGTGGGGACCCTCCCCACACTTGGGAACACCCCATTTTGCACCCCCGGAGACGGAGGCCCAGGGAGGCCCCACCTGGACCCGGCAGCTTGGCGGCTCCGCCCTGTGGGCTGGCCAGCAGGCTCTGCAGTGGCTCCTGAAGCCTGCTGGACCTGGACGTGGGGTCGGAGCAGGTTCACTTGGCGGGAGGGCGGAGGAGCAGCGAAGCCACAGACCCTTGGCCTGCACTTGACTTTGCTAGAGCGAGCAAGGCCTCTCCTGCTCCTCGGGCCCAGGGGGTCAGCGCAGAGAGCACTGTCCTGACCCTGCAGTGGAGGCAGCCGCTGGCCTGGCCTGGTCCCAGCGGGGTGCCCAGCTCTGGTCGCAGGCATTTCCTAGCCTGGCTGCTGGGGGGAGGGCGGGCGGGTGGGGGGGGGCACCTGCTCTCTGCCGCTGTACCCCAGGCTCCCAGCCTCCTTCCCGCCCCCTCTCCTACATCCTGCCCAGGCTCTGTTCTTCTCAGGACAAAGGGCAGCCCCCCCGCCCCCCCGCCGCCTCACCTCCCGCCAGGCACCCAGACACAGCTAAGCCTCCGCTTCATCACATCACGCAGCTCAGCGCCCTGCAGCTATCAGGTTGCTATTTCAGGCGCTGAGCCTCGAACAAGCTGTTCCCACCGCCTGGAATGCCCCTCCCGAGGACGTTTCTCGGGAACTCCTTCACCCTTCACAGCTCAGCTCCTTGCCCATCCATGGTGACCAGGACGCCGGCTGCCGCCTTCCTCCCAGACCCGCAACCTTTCAGGGCCGGAGCTGCTCTGGGCCCCTCGCTTCCTGCGT